AAAGAAAAACTAGATATAACCATTTTTATTACACATTTAAAAAAACTTTTGTACCATTATTGATCAAGCAAGATCAAAGTCAAACTATATGCATGTTTCATAACCATATTACTAAACCACAATTAAAAAATTAATAAATATATTGTGACATCATCATATCATCTCTAACTTAGATCACATTGTTTGTTTATCATAATAACTCAACATCTTGCCGAACCATTATTAACTACCTGACAAATATGTTGCACACTTAACAAAATATTTATAACGGTTTTCTTTAATATTGTACGAATAGTCTACTAACGTTTCGTATTACCTTATCCAAATAATTATTAACACTTTTTCGATCGACACGTTTATTTAGTACCAGTTATCTGCTCATATTTCACCTTTTTGTATCCTATTCTTCTATAAATATTGCTCTGACATCAATCACCCATTTAACTTTCTTTAGATACTATACACTTTAACTGTTCATTTCTCCTCCAAAACTTAATTCAAAAATGGCTGACAAAACATCACAACTAAAAGAATCTGCACGAATTCCAACAACAACCTCAACAACAATAATTCTCCATCGAAGGAACCAGAAGGTATAAATATTGCACATCTTTTGTATGCTATATTACAAAATTGCAAGCAAAATGATGATACATATTTGCCGCAACATAAAAACCATTAAAAAAAATTTGATATGTCGAGAATTCATCTCATAATTATATTTACACATTTATGTTACCGTTTCCATATATTTATAAAATTTGATTGTATATTGTTTCTGCAATTGTTTTAGACATTTTTCAGGGAATGCCTGAATTGAGGGAGATTTTCAAAAAAGTTGACAACAATCTGGATAATCTACATATTGCACGAGATAAATTCAGAGAAGTCATTAACCAAATGTTACAAATCATGAAATCTGCCATGGATATTATTTATAACCTAAACAAAAGAGAGTATGTATATGCACTAGAGGAACTGAACAACTATAAGAAAAATAGAAAATAAAGACTATATCGTCCAAACCCACTTCACAGTATGAAAAAGTAATGTACTTATTTCTTTTATAGTAAAAGTTTTATTCTCTATATTCAATTTTATCTTGATTTTAGTGTACTCATTAATTGATTGAAAATTGTGCTCCATAATAACACCTTAGTTTTGATTTAATTCTTCCATCTTCACACATTGGATGAGTACTAATAATAATTATATAAGTACATTACCTAGATAAATCATCTTGACTAGAAAGAATCCTATATTGTGAGAAAAAAAATTTACCAGTCAATGTCAAACATGAAAATGAACTCAATATAAATTTTTTAAGTTCAAATAATTAATCTTCATAATATTAATTGATGTTAATAATTATAAAGGTACAATTATTAATTTTATGTTAACACAACTCTATACATATATAGAAGTTATATTTACTCTAAAACTTGTATAATCTAACAATTATCGTCTCTTAATCTAATTACTTTATTCTGTTATAATAAATTTGTTTACAACCTCGAGCAACACGTTAAGATAAATCATTTTTTTTTATCAACCAAATTAAATTTGATTATGTTATGTGATAACATCAATACACTAAACCCTAAACCATTATTCACAATCTAGGCAATATATTATAATATTATCATGACGTTTATTACTTGAATACTTAACAAAATATTTATTACGTTTACTACTGTTTCATATTCTATTATCCAAAAAGTTATTAACGTTTTTTCAATCAATATGTTTACTTATTACTAGGCATTTATTGGTTTTCCCAAAGTACATTTTATATTCTCAAAAAACAAATAAATACTTTTAAATTTTAAATAAATAATTTACATAACATTAAAGTGATACGAATTTAAATCACTTATGCAAGTTGAGAAGACTACCTTAATATTATGTGGTCTAATCGTACAATCGATGTTATTTTTCTAATTTATTCTTCTCATCCTTTCTATTAAACTCATGCCAGTTAGATCTTATTCTTCTTAAACAACCATGTTTATTTATTATAATATCTTGATTCATGTTCCATCTATTTCTTTTGTATTCTTAATTAAACAAAACACATCTATCAATAACATCAATACCCTTCTCATTATACTTTTTGATTGATGTGATTGATATTTTGATGATATCTCGTGTTGTACCATGTGTACTAATCAAATATCTAAAATATTTAATATACCTATATAGAAATTAACATGAATACGAACCGTTTACATTTAAATATAAGTAAGACTTGACATTAAATGATTAATACAACTATCATGATTTTACAAAACTATTAAAAACCAAATTCAGATAAGAATGCTGACTCCTATTAATAATAGACAAAACATTATCTAAGCAGTTGAAATACCAAAAAAAGAAAAAAAAAATTGTTCGCCACCTACACGCGAACTATATAAACCACAAATACCATATCAACAACATAATTTCCATATACTTGCATCCAAAAAACAACACCAAGACATCATGATTCCTTTCAAATTAACAAAAAAACAACTCACATGTCTGTTACAATTACCATAAGAAATTATACAACAAATCATTGTAAAAGCAACCGACAAAGATCACACTGCTTTACAAGCAATACAGTTAACGTAAGTTTTACTAAAACCATCGTATTTCATTAATCTATTGATTTCATTATTTTCTTACTCACACAAAAAATGATATTATACAAAATGGTTAAATATACAACTAATAACGATAAGATAGTACTTTGTTCCGCAGAAGTCTTATAACAATAACGGTTAACCATAGAAATGACTCCGTCGAACCATCTGCATCTTTAGTTGTTAATAGTTTTCTAATAAACAAAAAACAAAATGCATTTTAGGATCCATATTTAAGTGAGTCATATTTGGTACACTTACTTATTCTTAATTGCTTAATCATAAGGTAATGGTATTATCATTCCCAACTGTGGATTATTTTTTCTTTTTTTAACTATTATGAATCTTGTGCTTCAAAACCATTACTTACCATACAATTTACATGTGCAAATCTCTGAACAAACAAGCAAACATAAAACAAATATTACAAAGAATGGACATTTTGAAACAACGACACAAACTACCAACAATAACGATAGCGGAACTTTCAATTCTAAAGGCACTTGCAGAAGCAGAAAATAAACAAGCTTTGCTACTGCTAGGAACACATTTGTTCTTCATCAAACATGATACATATATGGGATTAAAACTACTGATTGTAGTTTGCCAAAAATATAACATGCAAGCAATATATCACACTGTTGTTGCTCTACTTACTGTACATGACAACAAAGGTATACAAATTCTAATGAAATTAGTAAAACTACCTAATCATTTCTACAAACTAGAATATTGCAGGAGAGAATTCAAGTCCCTAACTCCAACTGCAACAATTCTCATTAAGAGACAATTATTTGGGACTTGCAACAAGAAGAATCAAAATCGTATACACTGGGACAGATCAATGTCATCAAAAAATATCACATGTCATAGATGTAACGTGGATTACCAAATAGTCTGTATGAAATTTAATTTTTAGTAACTTTCATATGTAATTTCTTGCACATGTACAGATTTAAATGCTTTTTAGTTTAATCTAAAAATAAAAGTTAACACTCATTTAATTATCAACGATTGATCCAAATATTTAATAACTTATAAAGAGAAATTCGTCACAAGATTACAATGATTAGTAAAACGTAAACAATATTCAATAAAAATATTAAACACCAATGATTATGACAATTTCAAATAATTAAAAATGTTTGACAAACAGCTATCTAAATACTGTTCCTATAACATATAAAAATAAATTTCCATTCCATTATTCATTAGATTGAATTCTATGCCGAACCACAACATATTTTGGAAACCCGCCTGCCGAGCCATTGTTAACTATTTATCACGCTCTCATTTAATGCACCACAAACAGTTTTGCTACAAGTTGTCAAGATTTTTTCAATCAACGTGTCTATCTGTTGTTAGATGTCTGTTAATTTTCCCAAAGCAACTTTCATACTAAGTGATACAATACCTCAGGAATTGTTCAAACATTATTTTAAAAAATTGAACATATACAACAAACATCAATCTAAATATATTATAATCTTAATTTAAAAAAAAAAAAAACTAGAAATAACCATTTTTATTACACATTTAAAAAAACTTTTGTACCATTATTAATCAAACAAGATCAAAGTCGAACTATATGCATATTTCATAACCATATTATTGAACCACAATTAAAAAATTAATAAATATATTGTCACATCGTCATATCATCTTGGACTTTGATACTTGACAAAATATTTAGTGTCCATTATTAGAAAATATATCAATAAGATTTTATTATTAGGAAATCACATTGTTTTTTTGTCATAATAACTCAACATCTTGCCAAACCATTATTAACTACCTAACTAATATACAGTGCACTTAACAAAATATTTTGTAAGATTTTCTTTAATATTGTACAAATACTCTACTAACTCTTCGTATTACCTTATCCAAATTATTATTAACATTTTTTCGATCAACACGTTTATTTATTACCAGATGTCTGTTTATATTCCACCTTTTCGTATCCTGTATTCCTATAAATATTATTTTGATACTTGACAAAATATTTATTGTCCATCCTTTGAAAATGTATCAATAAGATTTTATTATTAGTAAATCACATTGTTTCTTTATCATAATAACTCAACATCTTGCCGAACCATTATTAACTACCTAACTAATATGCTACACACTTGTTACGATTTTCTTTAATATTGTATAGATGGTCTACTAACGTTTCGTATTACCTTTTCCAAACAATTATTAACCCTTTTTCGATCGACACGTTTATTTATTACCAAATGCTTGTTCATATCCCACATTTTTGTATCCTATACTTCTATAAATATTGCTCTGACATCAATCACCCATTTAACTTTCTTCAGATACTATACATTGTAATTGTTCATTTCTTCTCCAAAACTTAATTCGAAAATGGCTGACAAAACATCACAACTAGAAGAATTTGCAACGAATACCAGCAACAACCTCAACAACAATAATTCTCCATCGAGGCAACTAAAAGGTATAAACGTTCCACATCTTTTGTATCTTAAATTACAAAATCGCAAACAAAACGACGATACATATTTGCGAGAATATAAAAACCACTAAAAAAAAAAAATTTTTTTTGTATGTCGAGAGGTCATTTGATAATTATATTTACACATTCATGTTACCGTTTCCATATATTTATAAAAATTGATTGTATATTGCTTCTGCAATTGGTTTAGACATTTTTCGGGGAATGCCGGAATTGAGGGAGATTTTCAAAAAAGTTGAGACCAATCTAGATGATCTACATACTGCAAGAGACAAATTCGTAGAAGTCATTAACCAGCTGTTACAAATCATGGAATCTGCCATGGATGTTATTTATAACCTAAACAAAAGAGAGTATGCATATGCACTAGAGGAACTGAACAATTATAAGAAAAATAGAAAATAAAGTCTATATTGTCCAAACTCACTTTACAGTATAAAAAAGCGATGTACTTATTTCTTTTATAATAAAAGTATTATTCTCTATATTCAATTTTATCTTGATTTTTGTGTTGCTCATTAATTGATTGGAAATTGTTCTACATCTAACACGTTACTTTTGATTTAATTCTTCCATCTTCACACATAGGATGAGTACTATTAATAATTATATAAGTACATTACATAGACATTCCAAAAATCTAACCATTTTCAAGAAAAACATATAAAGATGGAAATTAGTTTGTTTTCAAACCTTAGCTTGGAAAGAATCCTATACTGTGAGACAAACAATCAATATCAAACCTGAAAATAAACTCAATATAAATTTTAAGTTCAAATAATTGATCTTCTTAATATTAATTGATATTAATAATTATAAAGATATAATTATTAATTTTATGTTGACACAACTCTGTACATATATAAAAGTTATATTTACTCTAAAACTTGTACATATATAGAAGTTATTTTTACAACCTATTCCAAAAATATAAAATAAACATACCCGCGCAACGCGCAGGCCCCATATCTAGTTAATATACAATTCAAAATTATAAATCATATCTAAATATTATTGATATGTGTTGGATGATGGCTTGAAACGTTACCGTATTGACACTTAAGTGGAACGACGTCGTTTTGCTCCAACTGCCAGAATCAATCCTGAGCGTTGATGAAAAAGGGAGATCCAACGGATGTCATATAACCCTAATGTTCCCATATAAAAGCAGAATTATTTTTGGCAGTTTATGCAAGGCAGATTAGTCTTTCGTTTTGACGATTACTCTCTCTTCTTCGGTAAAACACCATTGTTAAACCTTTAGGGTTTCTACAGTTTGGGTTGAGTGTTTCCTGTAACTTGAGTGTTGAGTGACTGGTTAGGTCATTTCTGGGTGTATTGTATACACTGCTCTTAGGGATTCGAAGGGTGTATCTCTAGGGTTTGGTTACGGGTTGAAGGAGGGTTTCTAGAGTGACTTGTGTTGCTTATTGTGTAATCTGTAAACTTGACAGTTTAGTGCAGCGAGCTCGTGTGATTCTCGAGTTCAACGTGGACGTAGCTTGCTCAATCTTAGAGCAAGTGAACCACGGTAAATCTGTTTGTACTGTGTGCTTGATTCTTGATCTTGATTTGTTGCTTGTGTTGGTTGATTCTTTCTTTAAANTTTTTTACCCTTTTAATAGCCTTTTTATACTTGCTAAATTGAAATCTGAGGCTTCATGCCCAAGGGTTTGAGGTCCCATTCTTGTTTCTATCTAAATTCATTGTCTTCAAGAATGCTTATTGATCTGAAGCTCTTGTCTTGGGTCCACAACATAAGGACTTGTTTTTTTGTTTTTTCTGTCCTAGGTTTCCTGTTTATAACTAAAGACTATAGCTAAAGTGTTATAAGGTCATTTATTTACAACAGGCGAATTTTTCTGGATAATGGTTATAGAGTTTTATTTTTTATTTGTTTATTTTACGTAGATTTAGGATATTGGACTGATTTTAATCTTGGTGCTTTACTATGCTGACCATCTAGGACGTAAGTTGGAATTTCTTATTTGTGCTGTTTCATGGTTTCTTAGAGTTGGACAAAACTTGATTTAGTTAGCTAGACCATTATGAGAAGACAAGAAATCTAAGTATGTTGAGTTTGGAATTGTCCTTTCCTTGACAAATCTATTAGTTTTGAGGTTGAATTTTTTTTTTTAATTTTTTTTTTAATCAAAAGATGTGCAACATGGAAGGAAATTTTTTCTTTTCAGGTGTTAGGGTTTTGAGATAAATCTACACCACATAGACCATAATAGAGAATGCCGAGAAGGAGATCCTTAAGAAGCGAGGAACCTTTATATGATTGGATTAAATAAAATATACTCTTACTTCACTATCCTAGGAATCTCATGGAAAGCTGTGAAGTGTTGTGAAGTGGAGGAAAGTATCATCTTCAGAGGTTATTACTCAGTGATTAACTTTGCTGAACTTTTCAAAGGATTTTTGGACTTCTTTAAGCAATTTTTCATTGAATAAGCCCCAAGGAAAAACTAATCTTTAAATGATTTGTGAAATAATTGAGTATATCAATCAATTTGAATTGAATAATCAGTCATGAGCTAGCTTATGATTTTTGTTGAAGAGAAAACATTCTCAAGGTTGTATATAATCATACAATTTATGTCGTAGGAAAACCAACTTTGTTCATCAAGGCTTTGGGCTTTCCAATATTAAGACCCTATTCAGAGCTAGTTATAATTCTTTGAATTTGGAGTTTTGAAAAAATCAATATTATGCCTTTTGAAATTATGAATAAGCATGAGAGAGTTTGTTTATGTTAGAATTCTTCATAGAAGAGCCTATTTTCGGAAGTATTTAGGATTAAATATATTCCTCAAAAGAATTTTATGCTAATTAGAAAAGACTCTTATATGAGTGATTATAGTCAATAATTATCTCCATCTTCATGACAGTTCCTTCCTAAGGACACTCTTCTAGAGATGGGTAAGATGGGTAATTAGACTTTGAAGAGGAGCATTGCCCTTCAACACAATGAGACTTAGAAAATCAGGCAAAGTCTTTTTACTTTTGTTTAGTTAATTTCAAAGAAGCACATGCTGATATGCTTTCTTAATCAAATTCAATGAATGAAGACATCTCCTCTCTAGGATCATCAATTGGGAGCATATTTCATTTTATTATATGGTTTTGGACCCAAGAAAAGGGAAAAGGTTTACCAAAAGAGGGGATAAAAGAGATAACCTTGTCAACATTCTGAGCAAGTCTTCTTGCAAAGTCATTTTCTAATTATGACATCAATGGTTGAGATTTTTCTCAAAATAATAATAGGTGAACAAAGTAATATTTTGACGTTTTGCTTACCTTTTGATAAAGAAATATTTTCCGTTCAAAAGCTAATAGACTTTTTAGGGGAAGGAAGACATTCTAATCTCAGGATATGTCTTTTGCTAGGATCTTCTAATAAGGGTTCAACTATGTGATTATTTTATCTTTTCAGCTATATTGAATTAGTAAAGTAGTTTGGAGTCCATATATACTTTTAAAAATTTGTTTTTCCCTTTTTATCTGGTTTCTCACTTACGAGATAGTTCATTATGTATTAGGGCATGACGATTAAAAATAATTTAGAACCAGACATTAAGCTTCGCCAGAGGGAGGAAGAAACATTAGTTTAAACTTCGAAAATACACTCTTAAGGAAGAAACTTAGAAGAACGAAAAACGTAAATAAATAAACTACTAGGATACAATAAATATATGTACTAATGTTATGTCTTACTTTAGGCTTCATTTTTTTTTTTCTTTTGCTGCTTTTCCCGAAGTCTTCACTTAATTGCTAGATGATCGATCCTTGAGGGGTTCCTTCTATTAGACACTACATTGGCTCTTGTTTTTCTTATGTCAAATCCTCTTTCTTACTGCTTTACCTCTTCAAGCATGTTCATGACCTCTTTTCTTATGGTCAAATTATGTTGTAGCTTTAATATTTTTGTATCTAATAATGACAATCTGTTGCTATCAGCAGAAATTTTAGCATATTTACTCCTTCCATAGATGGTACATATTGTTTGAGGGATTATTTGGATCTTTCCTGTATATCAACTCCTCTTGGTTGAACTGAATACCGTGTATTGCATGTAGGTTGCTTCTAGCCACTCTATTTAATTTACGTTTTTCTACCCAATGGACGTGTTCATTGTGTGTACAGCAAATAAATAGAGGAGCTTAATTAGGAGGTGCTGTGGTTGCTGCCATGCTAATCTTCCGATGCTTAAGTTAGCATCTGGGTTTTGTAGGCTGTGGGGAGAGGATGGTTTGCAAAGCTTAAGTTCTTGTTTAGTGCCTGGATAACCACCAAGCAGTGGACAGAACTATTGCGAATGATAATCTTTTCTAATCCTGCCCAACATATGTGACCATTAAGGTGTACTAAAACACTGGTTGTATGTAATGAAGTTAATACTTCGTTTTCTAATCTGACCTACTAAACTGATTTTTTAATTAGAAGAAATTGCAATTACTTTGGAAGACTTTTTATTTTTTTATTTTTTATCTTTTCTTACTTCAGTGTGCAAGTGTTTTTGTTTGATACTAGTTCTTGACATATATGTCAGCTATGCTGTTGTGAATCAATATTACTTGTTAGTGAATTGAATGTCAGTAGATGTGCTCTTTTTTTATTTACCTATACTGGTTGTGTACTTCAACATGTGTATTTGAGATCTGATATTTGTTGACAGGACTTTATCTTCGGTTTAAGCTCACATATTTGCTGACAGAGCTTATCCTCTTTTATTCTTACATCCATTTATCTTCAGTTTAAGCTCTGATATTTGCTGGCAGGGCTGTGAGAGAGAGGTTGCAGAAGCTGCTAATGGTGACTCAGATAAACTGAAAAGTGAAAGCATTATGCGGTTGTCATGGGCTCTTGTTCACTCTAGACAAGCAGAAGACGTGCAGCGCGGGATAGCTATGCTAGAAGGTAAACCACATAAATCAAGTGCTTCAAAACCCCCTTCCCTTTTTTTTTTTTGTTCTTTATTTGGGGGTGTGTGTGTGTATGGGAATTTTATTATCATAAAGAGAAAGGTATTAAAGGATATCAAATATCCTTTATTGTCAGACCACCCCTTGAGGAGGGAAGTGATTTACCAAAAACAAAAAGAGACCGAAAAACTCTGTATAGGTNAAGCTGCTAATGGTGACTCAGATAAACTGAAAAGTGAAAGCATTATGCGGTTGTCATGGGCTCTTGTTCACTCTAGACAAGCAGAAGACGTGCAGCGCGGGATAGCTATGCTAGAAGGTAAACCACATAAATCAAGTGCTTCAAAACCCCCTTTCCTTTTTTTTTTTTGTTCTTTATTTGGGGGTGTGTGTGTGTATGGGAATTTTATTATCATAAAGAGAAAGGTATTAAAGGATATCAAATATCCTTTATTGTCAGACCACCCCTTGAGGAGGGAAGTGATTTACCAAAAACAAAAAGAGACCGAAAAACTCTGTATAGGTTGTGTAAAAAGACAGATTAGCCAGAGGGTTTATATGGAAAGAGACCTGTAAAAACCAGAATTTGCCAGGAAGGAAGGTGTCTTAAACTTTCTTGAGACTGAAGTCCATATTGATGCACCACCATCTTCACCTTTAACATCCAGAATCCTGCTGTTGTTTTACACCAAATTACTGAAAGAGTTAGTACCAAACACATGAATGAGGTCTTAATTCTTTTTCTTTTACCAAAAATACAATGACTTTCTGCTAAAGGGAAGACAATGATCTTGGTTTAGCCCACTGGAAGTTAACTTCCTTACTAGCTTTAGTGCAAAAAATGAAGCCACTGGGCAATGAAGGAAGAGATAGTCTCTTGTCTATACATTTTATTTGCACATAAGCACATTAAGAAGAGGATAAGCTCATAATTAGGTGCTTTTTGTACTTAGCTTCGGCTGTATTTACTCTTCCTAGAGCTAAACCACCATAATAATAACTTTATTTTTAAGGGAAGATGAGCGTACCAATTCATGTTAATACATTTGAAGTCAACATTGAAATTTCCTTTTTGAAGATTATCAACGTAATATATATAGGAGTAGCATCATGAAGAATAATGCTTCTAAGTTTTCTTATACTAAAATCAAAGTTTTAATCTTCAGAGAGTTCAGAATTCCACTATCTCCCATTCTTTCAAATTCCTTTTGCTGTTAATATTCCAGCTCCAGTTTTTGATTGAGAGAGGATCAAAGACTTGTGGATGGTCACATATTGTGACATGATTGTTGTAGAGAAGTTGATCACCCAAGCATTCCTCTGCCAACCATTTATACACCCAAAAATGAATTCCTAGTTTCTTTTAGATGTTTGTTTTCAACACTATTGAGAATAAATGCCTTACCCAACTGTATGGGTTAATTCCATTTTTCCATCAATAAATTTCATCATTAAGAATCTAGGATATGGTGCTTTTATTCTAGTTCCATTTATGGTTCTTATTCCTTCTCATTTTTCCAAATATTTCTTTTAGTCTTTATATGATCTTTTGCTTATGAAAGTATGGTTATTGTTTACATGAAGTCAAGTGCATTCTCCTTTTCAAGTACTTTTTATTGCTTACTGCTTTCTGGGATCTGACTGGTAGTTACAGCTCTATGGCTTCTTATTGATGTTTTGTTTCTTGGTCATGTAAAGTTGCACTATATGTATAATGAGTTACCCATTCTAAGGTGCTTTTGTGACGTCAATCTTCTTTACCAATTTTTGGTCTTCATTGATTTTCCCTCTATATTTTTGTTATAGGTATCTTTATCTATTCCCTTGATCTAATGGATTTTGTATTTGGTTTCTATACGTCTCAGGCAACCCTATAGGGCTATCTAGAATTTTCAACATGACTTAATTTAAGCTTCTGTTATAATTTTTTTAAGCATTCATCTTAACTTTCTGTCTTACTTTATCTGTATCTTGAGTTTTAGTTACACAACATACACTCAGTTGGAGCCATTCTCACTGTTGGCTAAACATTTTATAGCTTTCTGGGAATGTGTGGCCAATATAATTAAATTAATATATTTGGCAATTTTTTTACATCATTTCCTCTCTAGAACAATCATTGCACGAAAATTACCAAGAAGTATCTGGTGTCTCGGTATGACCAATCTTTGCTCTCTGTTTCATAGCTTTCTATGAAATATTAAATTAACAATTAACAATTATTGGTCTCACCAAAGCTGTATTCAGCTTGTAAGTTATTATGTCGTGAGATGATTTCTTTATCTCCTATATTTTTGAAGCATAACATGGCAATTTTGCTAAGGCTTACTGTCTTAAATTATTTTTTTCTCATACTTCCTCTCACATGAAGCAATTTGATCTCTTGCTTCTATGCACACAACCACAAAAGAGAAAAATTGAGGATAAAGGAAGATTGGACATGAAGTTGAGTACTTTTGTGGATCTTTTGTAAATGAAATCTCTTGTACGTTAGATAATGAGAATCTAATTCTTTTGTTTAATTGAGTAATGAGAATCTAATTCTTTTGTTTAATTGAGTAAATTAGTCCTTGCTTTGACTCCATAACCTCATGTAATCAACATACTTGCAGCATCATTAGCCAATAGTAGCCCTCCTTTGCAGCAGAGAGAGAAACTTTATCTTCTGGCTGTTGGATACTACAGATGTGGTGATTATTCAAGGAGTCGGCAGCTTGTGGAACAGTGTTTGGAGGTCTTTTTCTTTTTTTTTTTAATTATTATTTTTTTTCTGTCTAATTGATTTCATCGAAAAGGAAGGTTTTATACTAACTTGGTACGTGAAAATCGATTATATTAAATTTTCTAGATTGCACCTGATTGGAGGCAGGCTCTGGCCCTTAAGAAGAGCATTGAAGATCGAATTGCGAAAGGTGAATAACTGATGAATTTCATAGAGGACCTTTGCTTTTCGTAATGGTCATACTGATGGAATTGTAAATGATGTTTTTGAATGCAGATGGTGTTATTGGAATTGGTATTACTGCAACTGCTGTTGGACTTATAGCTGGAGGGATTGCTGCTGCATTGGCTCGCAAGAAATGACAAACCTCAGTCACCAATGTGAATAATAATAGTTTGCTTTTTGAAATGATATAACTTGGATTGATGTTTTTCCAACTTTTGCCTTGAAAAAAAATGTTTTTAATGATTGTTGAAACTTGAAAGTCATACTGTAGTACCGTTGGGATGTTCTTATAAATTGGAGTTATTAGTTGTTTTGGCTTGCTAGCTTAGTAGGAGTTTTCGCTTAATCTAATTGAGTTATTATTTGCTGTTGAAGTCTCGAAAAAGTAAATATTTGTTCACTTATTATGAAAAACCAAATTGTTAAGAAAATTTAAAACACCAAAATGTACTAGGCGTTAATAGCTTCACTGGAAACCGTGAGTGGTTAAAATTAAGAATTATTATCCAAAACAATGTTTTTAAACCCGGATTGTCCCTTAACCCGGTCAAGGGGCTGGATCCGGGGTTGACCAGTCCAACCGGTGTCGAGCAAACACATATCTAAAAAGTTATGAATAAGTTCTTATATGTTTGAAACCCAACAAATACACCCTTGCAAAATTTATCAATCCTTGTAGGTTCAAAATCTAGCAAACACAACCCTGCGATTTTTTACATCCTTTTTTAATTTTTATCTTTTCAAGGTAATCTCTCTCTCTCTCTCTCTCTCTCTTAACCTCTCCAAATCTCTCAATCTTTAAGAATTGGAGATCACCACTTCCTCCACCATGTCGCCATCTCTTGCCGTCTACCGGCGCCGCCTCCTCATACCTCCCAAGCCCTTCACCACCCCCCCCACCACCACTACCTGACAATTATCTCCATCAAATAGTCAGCCATCGTGTGCCCTTGTGTGCACGTGTTAAAAATTGGGTCGGACCGACGGTTGGACCGGGAACCGGCAGCTTCTCCGGTCAGTTTGGTCTCAGGGGGTTTTTGAATATTTTAAAATTATGAGGGTTACTTTGTAATTTTATAGGGGTATTTTGGATATATATCAAAATTAGGGTTAATTAATAATTTATTTGGACATTTTTGGAATAAATAAAATTGTAGGGACCAATTTGAACTTTAGGAGAATTTTTGTAATATTGAAATATAAGGGGTTAATATGTAATTTTTTAAAAATAAAATTTTGCTGACGTCACGGTCCAACCGGCGGTCCAACCGGTTGGACGGGTGACCCGTGACCCGGACAGCAAAACGGTTTGCCCTCCGGTCCGGGTTTTAAAACAATGTTGTGTGTCGCACAATCGCCCATTCAGCGGATTCCGATAGATCTCGTCACCCAAAATTACTATCGCCACCCTAGCATCACCGGCAACTCCTCGACAAAAACCATAACACTCCTTGTTGAGACCGCTCCTCGATCACCACTGCTGACCACCTTGAAGGTTTTCTGGAGTTTTTTTTTTGGAGTTATATGATGAAATTGATTGTATATTGGAGTGTGTGATTGTTGCAGATTTATTGTGACCTTTTCTCGGCCATTTCTTGCTATCGGCTTCAATTTTTTGGAGTTTGAAATAGCCACCACCTTATTGTTTTTTGGCCCAATCAATTGTTTCGAAGTTAACCGATTTGGGTTAAACTGTTGGACTGCGATTCTTATAGTAACCAAACAACAGCGGGTCAAACTAGGTGAACTCTCACCACCGGTTTTCACCTTAACCAGCCACTCAGTGGCCAATTCTCGGTCCAATCGGTTAAATGACTAGGCCGGGTTTTAAAACAAAAATCCAAAGATCGCATTCTTAGCACTTTTTTTTTTTTTTTTGATAAACCTGGTAATTTTATAAAGAAGATAGAAGAACTACAACCTAAAAAGGGGATTCCCCTTTAGAGTTGATGCGTATTTACTACAATATGCATAAATAGCAAGTGCACTAGTCGCACAAAGTAATGAAGTGAGAGCGAGTCGTTCCCACAAGGATTGATTTGTTAAGCATTAACTTTCCTAAGTGTTTCTCAAGTTGGAGCAATCGAATTTGTTTGGATTAATGGGAGAAAATTAAACTTAAAACTAAAACACAAATTTCTAAATATTCAAAGCTAATTATGAATGCAAGATTAAAAAACAAGGTAATATCAATTTAAACAAACGGGTAGGGTTTTTATTTCATTCGGACTCTATGGATTAAACCTATAGATTATGCTATTTTCATATTTTCATGCATTGATTGTAAATCGAATTCTAAATTGTAAAACATACCTTCTCAGGCTATATTTTCATACTTTTCCCTATTAAACTTTCGCACTAACAATTTAAAGATTAATAGATCTAAGCTTATTAAGCACATAGAATCTAGATGATTTCATTGATTCTTAACATCTCTCGCATTTAATAACAATGGTAATTATCCAGGAAGCCTACGACTCATTTCTCAATCTCATCATGTTCAAATTAAAAGCAATAAATTCAGAATAACCACACAATCCATGCAAAACATACGAAATATAAAAATCAATTGCTCATCCATGAGAATCCAAACTACATCAAAACCCAACCCAAAATGGGTTAGTTCATAGCTAAATCAATACAATAAGCCGAAAACAATAAACACAAAGTTCAACATATTAAAATGAGAGAAAAGACGAGATCTCCATAGTTGAACAATCCACAAGATTCAATCCAAATTCTCACTTTCAACACAAATTCGTCAAATCTAAACTAAGAAGAAAAGCTGCTGAGCTAAGGAAAATGTACGACCCCTCTCTAAAATGGCAAAGTTTTGCTTTTAACCTCGCCAAAAACTAAGACTTTCCTAAAATGAAACTGTGCGTTTTGAAGAAATCTGAAATTCGACGACTTAGCCGTGGCGACGAAAGACTTTCGCGCGTGACGGTGAGAGTAAGTTGGAATCCGTTGTAACTTCCTTCGCCGCGGCGAACTTCATGAACAATTCTGAATTTATAGAATTGCCCTTAGCTTGTTTCTTTGCTTGAATCTTCATCTCTAATGCTTTCCCATGGGAACAAGCTTCATAGTGTGTCATCTGCTTCAGAACTCTTCTAAATTCCGAGATCCGCTCACTTTTGGGTCAAAACTCCAATCGCTCATTATTACTCAAAATGTCCATTTCGGCCTGAAACACAAAATGTAGAGAATTAAGAATCAATTCAGGCAAAAATGAACTAAGAAGTATCTAAAATCCAGCCAAAAAGCCTAATAAAAACAGATAATTCTCGAATTATCAAATACCCCCAAACTAAAGACATGCTCGTCCCCGAGCATCAGGTACAAACAAAAATGAAAGAAAATAACAAACGCCCAAACAAATGCAAAACAGCAAAATACAAAAATTTAAAAGAAAAACATAAGACTCAACTCAACACACGAACGCCTAGAATTTATATAAGTCTCAAAGGTTGTTGCAAAATTATTACTAGAAAAATGTTCAGCACTCCAAGAAGTTATATGTTGCATCGACTATCTTTCTCTATTGGTCCCTTGAGTAGGTGATTCCCACTTCAATCCACCTTCCGACTTCCCGGATTATTTTATGCAGAAATGCAAAGTTATCAAATGGCGGCAGACCCATAAACCTAAATATCGAACTACTCTCCACTAATGAGGATTAGACATCGCTAAGAATCAAAAGGTCTTTGCAAGCTTGTAACGTTAGGTTTGGGTATTGGGCTCCAAAGGAAAGGAAAAGATAGCCAACAAGAGAACTTGGTTTCCTTAAAGCAAACACTAAAACTTCCATCAACTTTCACTTTCTTTCTCAACCATTACCAAGGTGTCAACCAATTTACAACCCTCAACAATGTACAATTCTTATTTTTGCTATGCAATGCAATTTTTGAATTCTGTTGTTTTTTTTTTTTTTTGAAGATAACAGTAATCAATTGAGGTTAATTACCTCTTATTTTTCTTTCCCTTTCACAACCCCCAAACTATTCTTTTAGTTCATTCACACAACTCTTTAAGTTCCTTGTGTTTGCATAGGTCCAAAATTCTCCTAAAGGGTATGATTATGTGTTTAGGGTAATTGGATCGGATAATTTTTGGTTTGCAAGAAAATAAAAAGTAATGATATCTCATAAGGTTCAATGGGTGACTAGGGAACAATTCATTTGTGGGTTGGCTGGAAAGGTCAAACGTTCCGAAAAATGCCTAAATCATTTCCTCAACAAGTCTATTCCTAGAATTTCCTCAAACACTTTTCTACTAGGTTCTAGAGTCCACAACATTATCAAACTTTACCTAACCACATAAAATGAATCTAAGCATGCCGAAATAAATGAAAATGGTGGCTGAACCACTCAACAAACCTCAATCAAAATTCAGTCAATAAACAAAAACTTGAAGCAATGCTTAACATTTTTCAATAATAAAATCCAACAACCCTAATCTCATTGGCATACAACAAAACACAAAATTAACTAAACAAAATAAAAAAATTTCTCAAATTTTCACACCCCAAACTAAAGATGGCATTGTCCCCAATGTCACATTATGCACAAATTAGGAATAGAAAAACAAAATCTGTAAAGGTACGAGATAGTTCCCTGATTAATCGTGAAGTTGAAGTTTTGTCATAGTGTTCACACCCAGTCCTTGACTTTTTCATCACCAAATCTGTAAAAACAATTGAAAACTGTGGTGTGTCACTATGTTAGAAAAATTCACTGACTAATGAAAATATTACAACTCTAATCTGCTTTGCATCAACTATGAAATTAAAACAAAAATTAAACAACTAAAACAATCCAAAACACAAAGTATCAACTGAGTTCAATGTTCGAAATGAAAAACAAAAAACAACAAAATAAAGAAAATAATAAAAACAGGTGATCATTCTTCGGCTCCTCGTCTCTCTCGGCATCATCCTCTTCTGATTCAGAGCCCACCACTCTTAAATCCCAGTCAACCCATGGAATTCTACAATCAAATTGAGCTTGTCGAACTACTCTTCTGCATGTTATACTCGTCTGAATCTGCTCTGCCAGCCAATCCTGACATTTTGCCATACGTCTCATCTGACCCATCATCTACTGCATCATTTCCTCATAGTGGCTGTGGAACTGGATGATGTGGCAGTGCCTTGGGTGGTTTGCTGTCGTTTTATCCCGGCTCTGGGCTACTCACCAAGTTGCGTGCAGATGCTTATCATAATATACGGTGTCGAGGACGGCATGCAGCATGGATCAGTGGTTCATCATCAGTCTTCTCGACTTTTGCTTTAAGGCACAATGCTGTAATGAGCTGTGGGAAT